CTACGAGAATCTCAGAAATGTACCATGATTGTCTCAAAAATATTCTACGAGAATCTAGGAAATGTTCCATGACAGTCTCCAAAATGTCTCGTGATAGTTTCAGAAATGTCCCGTTTGTCTGACCCTGCTAACATTAACATAAAATTGTCTTTTGTTGATTTTTGTATTTAAGGTAATTGTTAYCCTTTTAATTTTAAAGTCATTTCATTAGAAACAAACTGTTCCTGTTAAAATCTGACAGAAAGTCTCTGTTTTTCTGCAGCCTGTTTTAAAGTCTGCAAACAGAAAGGTTTGATCATCTGAAGCGCAGACAGCAGCAGCAGCTCAGAGAGGAGTGATCRCCAGTTTCCACTGTCTGTGCCACATCAGTGATGGACTGGATCACTGGTTCTGTCTGGATCTTAGACCACATGAGGGGGTCCGGTCCCCACAGAGTCAGTTTGAAGTTCAGGCTTTGTTCAGAATGAAGCCATTTCCCAAACATCCAGTGAGCTCTGGCCGCCTCCTTCAGAGGGAAATGCTACATTAACATTCATCTCCAATTCAAATGTCCCGGCTGCAGCGATGGTTATTATCAGCATCACTGAGACAACCCAGTTTCACYGTAAAATACACAACGAGAGTTAAAACAAACAGGAAACAACAAAAACAAAGTTTTTAAATATTTGTCTGTTAGTAAAAAGTTTAGAACTTTTCCTCCATTTCCACCAAATGATGCAAACGTCTCRACAGATTCCTGCTTTTAATGCAAATACTCCTGTTTTCCTAAAGTTCTGCTTTTGCATAATTCAGAGTAAAAGCTCCAAACTGTTTGCACCTGTTATTGTTTTGCACCTACAAACTTCATTTCAGGCTCTGATCTGAGCTGCATATTATGATGCTTTTTAAATAAAAGAATTTAAAAAGTGCAGCAGCTCCACACAAACATGGATTTATGTCTTGATAAAGACGGGACCCTGAAGGAGAATTTACCCGTTTGTTGTCTAAAAATCCCACCCGTACAGTGTTTACTGACAATAAAAAGGCTAGAAGTCGAACAGACTCTGACCTCAGCAGTGAAACGTCATGTTTACGTAACAGAAGCACGAGCTCACATCACTTCCTGCTTTCATCAAACCAGCAGGAAGAAAATGTGACACTAAAAATAAAAATTATTTTAAAAAGGTCCAGATGTTGGTCAGTTTAAAAGCCCGAGGTCCCCGTCCTCCTGCTGCTGAGCTGCGAGTCGGACCGCTAATCTACCAYTTCACCTGCCATCAGAGCTCAGGGGATTAGGGATAACAACAGTGAGATTAGGGATTAATAGTTTTTTTTTGCTACTGCTGCCAACTAACACCCCCCCGCCCCCGACACACACACACACAGACACACACACAGACACACACTGAGATCTAGAGGCTCTTAGAGGAGCTGCGTTCACTGAAACTGGTTTAACAAGAGGAAATGATGAGATCTGCTGCTGGAGGACACCTGGACTCAGTCCTGCTAAATAATCCTGAAATTATGGATTTTATTTCATTATTCAACTAATTAACAAACTGTAAGATTTAAATAATTATCTGTTCCAATCTGAAGCATGATGTCCTCAAAACAACACAGTGTCCTCAAACAGTCCTCAGTGTCCTCAAACAGTCCTCAGTGTCCTCATGAGGACTGTGTCCTCATAAACAGGTTACATCATCAGAGCACATGTGAATCTCAACATGTCAGATTAAATCAGGCAGCTGAGACACAAACATCCCTTCATCACCATGTTAGAGACAGGGACAGAGACAGAGACGGGGATGGGGACAGAGATGGGGACAGAGACAGGGACAGAGACAGAGACAGGGACAGAGACAGAGATAGGGACAGAGACAGGGACAGGATCAGTCCTGTTGCCATGGTTACAGGGGGCGTGTACAGGTAAACTCACCTTCAGGTGCTGCAGAGCTCTCCTGTCGTCCTCCAGTTGACGTTTTTTATTTTCCAGCTCAGTTTTCCACTTCCTGTTGTCCTGAAGCATGATGGGAAATGAATGTTTGGACTTTCTGACAGAATAAGTCAAATCAAAGTGATTTAATCTGTAATAAA